TTACTACAGCTTATTGCAGGCTTGGCCCTGCATATAAGAAACCAAACCTACTGTATTCTTGGTGCTTAAACCTCACTACACTTCTGACTGTTGAAAAGGAAGGTTTTCAGACAGGATGTGTGTCCTAGGCTCCTACTGAATAGTAAAAACTGTGTGACCTTCGAAATTATCAGTGTTCTAGCTTTCTGAGGATTTGAGTTGTGGGCAATTTCCAATACTGCTTATGGACCAGCTAGCTTGAACACCTTCTTGATGGGCAGGAGCCTGACATTAAAAGAAGATGCACATAAAACAAATCTAAAAAATAAATTTTCCCTCAGTATGTATAGGACCTTTAGCAGACACATTTTCATATTTTCATGTAAACTACATACAGCCTCCCATATACTTCAAGATATTTTCTAGATGTGTTTTAATGCCTAATGCATGTAAACATTTTGTAAATGATGGTTAGGGTATATTTTTAGGGATTAGGAACAAAGGAAAAAGTCTTTAGATGTACTGTCCAGATACAATTAATTTATGTATAATTTTTATTTTAAGTTGTTTAAATTCACACATCTCACAGATAAGGAGATCCTACTATGTGTTATATGTGCTCATATATACATTATGAATGTGAATGTATTTTGTGACCTATATGTATTTAAGACTATCAACATGAAAAAGTAAGCCTCGGTGTGTGATGGTTGTCACTTGACAACATTGGTTGTCAATTTGACCCATCTGGGAAGATGGAACCTCGAAAGAAGAACTGGCCATTGGTGACCTGATCACATCTGTGAGGATATTCTTCTTGAATGCTAATTGGTGTAGGTGAGTCCACCTCATAGTGGGCAGTACCAACCCTGGGCATGTGGGATTGGGCTGTCTAAAAGGTGGCCTGGGAGCAAGCCAGGAATCATATTTTTCTAGGGTCTCTGCTTCAAGCTTTCACCTTGATTTCTTGTTTTGGCTTTGCTGTGATGGGCTGCAACCTGTGTGCTGAAGTGTGCTCCTCCTTGAGTTGCTTTTGGACATGGTGTTTATCACAGCAACAAAAAAAGAAGTAGGGCACTAGGTTACTCAGCTATATAAGTCCTTCAGTTCTGCCTCAGACCTGTGGGCAGAGACTTTAATTATTAGTGACATAATTATTCAACATGTCTGCCCTAGTTTGCCTTCTATTGCTGTAATAAACCCAACTAAAAACAACTTGGAGAGGAAAAGATTTATTTAACTTACACTTTCAGACTCAGCCTACCATTGAGGGAAACCGAGGCACCACACGTCCAGAAACTGGAGACATGAACTGCAGCAGAGACCACAGAGGAACACTGCTTACTGGTTTGTTCTGCAAAGCTTGTTCAGCCTGCTTTCTTACACAGCCCAGGACCACTTGCCCAAGGTTAGCACTGCCCACAACATGCTGGGCCCTCCCACATCAATCACACTGATCAAGGAAATGCCACCTCGGACTTTGCATACACAATAAGCTGGTGAAGGCATTATCTCAGTTGAGGTTCTTTCTTCCTGTATGACCCAAGCTTGTGTCAAGTTGTCAAAAACTAATGAGCACGGTGTCTGTGTAGTGAAAGAAGTGATGAAAAGTCAGTTTCCTAAAGCAGTTTCCCCAGCATTTTTACTTCGCACCAACTGCCCATGCGTGTAAACCCAGACAACTTCTCTGGGAGGCAACCCATGTTCATTAACTCAAGTGACTTAACACATCACGTTGACTAGTGTTCTGATATTAGTTTCCAATTCCCAATAATAGTTGTCCAATGCATGGATCAATGAATAAACCAGAATTTTGAATTTGAGCTTTTCTGCTTTGAATTTTTCTTTGGGCAGTCGGTTCACTCTCCCCAAACTGCATTACATATAATGGGAAAAAAAAAAATTCGAAGTACCACTCACAGGAGACTGTGTAGATATCCCGAAGAGCATCTGCATAGTGGTCAGCCATCCAGCTGTGAAAGGAACAAACAACTCCATGAGCAATATGCAGTAAGTCCAGGGATGCACTAGCTGGAAGAAAGAAGAGAAAAGGCAAAAGAGTGTAAACAACATTTGTTTGGTGGAAAAAGAGAAATAAAAAGGTACATACAATAGCAACTTTTTGACAAAAGCCTCTGATGAGAAGATTCATTTAACTTTATGTGTATGAATGTCTGCCTGCCCTCATGTATGTATATGTGTGTGCGCACTACATGCATGTCTGGTGCCTGGGAAGACTAGAAGAGGATGCTGGGTCTCCTGGAACTTTGGTTACAAGTGGTTTTGAGCTGCCATGTGGGAGCTAAAAACTGAACTCAGGTCCTCTGCAAGAGCAGTAAATGCTCTTAAACTCTGAGCCATCTCTCTTGTTCAGAGCAAAAACCTTTGGAAAGATAAAGCCACAATTTAGAAAAATTAGTTTCTCATATAAGGCAGGTGTGAATGGAATTGATGTTGGATTAGGAAAGAGTGAATTTGTCCACTGTATCTCTTGCTATTTTATTATGTTTTTCAGTTAAAAAATGAGATCAGTAAAGAATCGTAGCACATGCCTGTAATTCCAGCATATGGAAGGCTGGGCAGGAAAGTTCTACATTTAAGGGCATCTGGGTAAATCAGTGAGTTTGAGGCCAGTAGAGATATCACAAAATTTTGCCTCACAAAAATAAAATGAAGGCAGGTAAAGTGCTTGATGTGAAGGAGTTTGCTGCCAAGAACTCACATGGTTAAAGGAAAGCATTCACTCCCTCAAGTTGACTTTACAAGTGTTCCATGTTGCGAGCATGTACACACACACACACACACACACACACACAAACAAAATCAATTGCATATTGAACTGATTATAATTATACAGATTATAGCTATATATACATATATATACATACATATATATCTAATTATACAAATCATTGATAGAAAATACACTGGGAACACTGACAAGAACCAATGGAACATTACTATTAGGGTATTTTTGGTAGATATATTTGCTGTGTGATACTGAAAGTATTTATGTCTCTATTATAAGACAAAGAAAAATGAACAAGAATATTGATGCTGAACTGTGATGGTCATTGTGGCTCATAAAAACATGAAGTTGCAGAAGCCAAGAAAGGATCATCCATGTGGAAAATTCTGTTCACTGGAGGATATTAAAAGTAAACTAGGACAGAGAGATACAGAAAAATTAAAGGGACATAGGAAGGAACAGGAGTCTCTCATCTGAAGTCTGATTGCAGTCTCTGGCTCAGAGGGAAGAAGCAAGTCTAGCATGGCTAACAGCCTTCTCCATGAAGGTTGCCTACATAAAGACATTCCTTTTACGTAGAGATTGCTAAGAAGCATGCTATAATAACAGTGAACTGTGCTCAAGGCCTAGATGTGTATGACCACACACTGCCTTTTCATTTCCCCACTAGAAGCCTATAATTTTCTAGGAATCTCACAAGCAAAACAAGAAACTCCATTTACATGAAAAGCTATGAACTAACTGCCTGGAACTTTTTGTTATCTACTAGACAAGTGACAAAAATTTCAAAGCCCCAATTTGTAGAAATGTAAGCTTTTATACCATTCTCCAGCTGTAGTAATTTTATAAACCCCAAAACTGTTAGATGTGTTCTACCTATAGACCGGTATAACTTAAAAAAAATAAAGCTCAACTTACATCAAGAATATTGTAAAAGAAATTAAGACAGAAAGCCAACAAATGTGAGAAGGAGATGTAGCATGTATATACAAATATGACAAAAAGAAAATCCTTTTGGACTAGAAAGTATTTTATATGATAAAATAGAGTTTTGTTCTACACATAAAATATTGCCCTAAACTAGAAATAAAAGCAAGGACGTAGCCAGATGCTTAAAATTTGTTAGTTTGTAAAAAGAAATAAAGGTTTGTGAAAAATAAAACTTAAATAAAGATTGCATAGATGTGACTAACTATTATAAGTTCCTGAGGTCAAAATTAGATACGACAAAATAAAATTAAAGCATAATTGTTTATAGACAGCAATAAGATTTTCTTAAAATTCTGATCTGTTCCTAATGACATTTACCAAAAACACTAGCTTGGAAAACAGATTTTGCACTTTATCTAGACAATTACTTAGGTTTTCTACTAGTTTTTCCAGCTGTTAACTATTTAAGAAACAGAATCTTAACAAAGTGAAGATGTATTCTACAGTCTTTTTTTCCCCTAAGCTTTAAGTATATACTGTCAAAAATTAAAATAACTGTTCGTTCTTCAAATATGATATAACTGATCATATGGGCATTCAATATTCATTCTTTGAGGCTGAAGTCAATGAGGATAAAGAAACTAAGAAGATAGTCAATAATGTGGCCTTTGACTCAAGTCATTCAGGTCCCAGAAAATGTTGGGAAACCTTTAAAAGGCCTTACAGCTCTGGCAACTCACCCTTCAGAGAGATCATGGAGACCAACTTGGACTCTAGCCATTCTACAAAGAAAAGATCATTGGAGAGAAAAATATCCTCAGGACTTACATGAAAGTCACATGGATAACAAGACCTTGACCTATCCCAGTAGATGACACAACTGGTCATGGAAAAACTAAAGGACCCAAGAGGCTCTTCATAAGTCCCCAAAACCAACCCCTAAGGAGGTGCAGGTGAACTTAATAAATAGAGGAAAGGTCGTTTTGATTATCTACTTGGTCTAAACACACAATAGGGAAGCAAAATTCAAAGACTGGAGTAACTAGAAGTGATAAAAAACAAAATGAGCTAGAATTTTTAAAGGACTCGGAATACTATTCTAAGCTGTTATAGAATCACTTCTTGGTATGATCATATGGCTTCTATTTTATATTATCTATAGGGCTATAGGGTTTCAGTTGTCATATTAAAACTCTTACTAAATATTCTAAACAAGCGTAATTTAAATGATACAGCCCAGAATTTCACTTAAATGTGAAGAAAAACCAAAATGGTACAATTATACAGAATTGTATGGCTTTAAATACCTCTGCTTTGGGAGACACTTGCACTATTCCTAAGATGGACTTCTGCATGTATATTCCAGATGAATGTCTCATCTGCTTTACACAATCTACAAAACAAGGTTCAAACCTGTTAGTTTTGGATGGAATGGGAGAACTTCAAAGGACATTAAGACAGGTTGCCACAGCCTACGTAGTTTATTGGAAGAATTATTAATACCATGGACAGACAGAAGAGGAGCAACAGTGTGCAGGGGTTCCAAAGAAAAATCAGGTCCTTGTACCAGAGAGAGAGAGTATGACAGGGTCTCTAAGGAGAATCTGAGTACACATGACAGAGGAGGAAGTGTCTTCTTACACCTTTTAAGAATGGAAAATGGTTTCACAGCAAGAGCTTGCAAACAGGCTCTTTGATTTCCAGGCAAGATGTGGCACCCCTATAAAGCAAACTCATCTCCCAGGTGAGATGTCAAGGCACTGATAAGCCAGCTGAGTCAGGATTCATACAATGCTACAGTAAGTGCCTGTCAGCATCTCAGAGAGGTCTGAGGAGAGACTGAGTGCTAACTGTGAGTTCTTACATATCCCATCAGGCACCACTATCTTTTTAATGTTAGAATTAGATCTCCATATATTCTTGTGCAAATGCCTTATCCCTTTCATAATTTTAATAGTAATTCAATTAGTCTTCAAACTTTGTGTGCTTAACTGCTGTCCTGATTTTATCTCTTTTCACTTATAGATCATCTAATTCTCAGATGCTCGTAGAGCAGTCACTTCATATACCTGGGTTACTTCACTTGCTCTCTGAGTTCTAAAAGTCAACAAGAGTGAAATTCTATGTCCCATTTCATCCATAAGTACTCAGAACAACCCAATGCCCATTTCAGAAATTATTTTGGGGTCTCATCTCTTGAGGGAGGACTGTTTGGTAGCAGGCTTGGAATTTAACTGGGACTGAGACCCTCCTTTATAATCAAAAGCTTGTAAAACTGAGGACAGGAACTGCAGGATTCTGCTTGCTAATTAGAAGAACAGATCCTGAATCCTATCTCTGGCCTGGGGAGGAAGGCAGGAGAGTCTCTTTTCTTTGAAGTTCATTATTAGATAATTATCTAAACCTAACTTTATGGGGAACTTCCTTTATATTATTTTTGTACAGCAGGACACATTCTGAAAAAAAAAAAAGACCTAGCAGGGCCCCCTACTAGCAAATCAAATACACTTGCTGGCCACCTGGACAGGGCAAGTCTTTTAGGAAAACATGCTTGTTCTAAAGACTGGAAATAGCAAGAAGCTTGCCAAAAATGAAGATTGGCAGAATGGTCCCTTTGTTCTAGCTTGCTTTCTATTGCTGAGATAGAACACCATAACCAAAATCAACTTAAGGAGGAAACATGTTTATTTCACCTTCTAGCTTTAAGAAGGTATGTCAGGGAAGGAACTCAAGGAAAAAACTAAGGCAGAGCTCATAGAGGAATGCTGTTTACTGGTTTGCTCTCCATGGCTTGTTCAGTTTGCTTTTGCGTGCAACTCAAAACTACTTTCCTGGGAGTGGAACCACCCACAGTGTGCTGGGCACTCCCACATCCATCATTACTCAAGACAATTCCTCCAGATTTGGCTACGTGGCGATCTAATCTAATCTAATCTAATCTAAGAACTGAAGTTCTTCCCCCCACCCCAGAAAACCATAGCTTATGTCAAGCTGACCAAAAACCTAACTAACATACAACTCTCACATTTCTACAAACAATATTTTCAAGTCATGAGTTCACTAGACCCAAGATAAATGATAAATGGGTGTTTTATTGGGGAACAACTTACACAGATAATAATAAAGAAACGCTGCAGG